TATTAAACAAATCAATCCCACTACATCAAAAGTCCTATGTAATGTCATTCTCTAGGATTAATGAATCAAAAGCCTCATAGCACAACAAATTCTTACACTTCACAAGGACCATCAATTGTTCTGGGCCCCTGGCTGCAATCAAACATACTTTCACCATGATCAAAATAAGATCTATCAATCATCTTTTACTCATAATCAAAATAAAACACTACATCTTAATCATCAGGGTTCTTCATTAGCAGGGTTCACAATTGACAATTCTCATGAAACTGTTGGTCCCAAACCAGCAGCCTTATGGCCTGCTCCAAATCTTAAAAACAGTTAAAACACACACTCACTACAGCTAAAATCAAACATCAAAGGTGCACAAAAACAAGACAATTTCTTTTGATCAAAAAAATCATTCAAAATCTCAACCATGAACCCCGCTATTACATGTCAATCATCAATCTCAAGTTAAAAAACCATCAACAGGCTTCACAAATTTCGAATACCATATACAATAATGAATACCAAGGGCGGGCCGCTACACTACAATACACTTTTTGCTCAAGTTAGTGTAGCGGTGCTTTTTTGTGCAGAAATCTGGTAGTGCTAGCGCATTTTCTGCTACTCTATGCTTTTCTAAGAGCCACTACAGCGCCAAAAAAAACGCTAAACAGTGCATGAGGGGAGCGTAGCAGGCCCTTTTTGGGGCCTGCACATGTAGTGTTAGCGCAGGCTTGGTTGAATTCCACTACGCTACACTATTTTTCAGCAGAATTCTGCTATGCTAAGCGGCACTAGCGCTACACTTAGCGTAACTGCCCACTGCCAAGAAGATCATCCAAGAAACCATCAACCTCTGCAAAATAGTTCCAAAGTATTTGAGAAAAATGAATGGTACTATCATACCTCTCAAGAGAGATACACCAAGGGCCTCGAGCGCATGGTTGGAGCTTTCTGAGCCACCTAATCTTTGATGCAATGATAAAGAATACCAATCCCAAGAACCATCTGGAAGAAAAAGATCCAAATCCATTAACAACACATTTGGAAACTGCAAGATTGCAGGTCAAGGAAGCAATACATCAAACCACAAATCAAGCAGGCAGCCAATCCAGGAACCAGCTGCAGTGATATGTATTATTAAGCATATGACAACACTGAAACAGAGGTGAGAAAAGACAATACCCAGCGTTTATTTGTATTGTCTCAGAATTTGAATACCAAAAAATACCAATCCTTGTTCATCTCACTTTCCTGAGACAATACACATGTATTGTCTTTGGAAAGTGAGACAAGTATTGTGTATTGTCTCAGGGGGCTGATCCCACCAAAAATGTCTTCAACACACAATATATTTGGCTTTATCAACAAAAAAAGACATTTTCTTTGCTTGGTAAAGACAAATCCAAGCAAAGAAGATTTTCTCACCAACCAAGGAAATAATTACTGATACCCGGTACTTGTCTCAGAAAAGGGAAAATACACACAAATACCAAATGTATGTCTTGCTTGTGTTTCAGCATTGATATGCATACAGTCCTTACTTGTAAACTCAATTCATCTTCTGGTGTTGGGTGTTTATAACCCCACACTTTTCCCCCCTTGCACCCACCCACACCCCCACCCTTCCAAAGGGGTGGAGACTAAAAGCCACCTATTTTTTGGGCAGTTTCCCTTCACCCCCCTATGTGTGCTGATATCTGCACACATAGGGTTTGAGTACAACCCGCCCTTCTATTGTCCAGAGAGTGCTTGAGCCCAGAGCTTCCTCCTGGCCTTTGAGACAGCACAAGTCTTGAAGGTCCTTTGAGGACATACCAAGCCTCAAAAGGCCGGACCATACTGTCTCAGGGCTAGGAGGGAAATCCCTCTTGGCCATGAAGACCATATAGTATCAATTGCTGGGAGGAACCCACCCATCCCTTGAGACTTATAAAGTCTCTAAGGCCAAGAGGGGAAACCTCTTGGATGTCAAGACTGTGCAGTCTCTGCTTAGATTGGAAGTTATCTTTATCATGATAGAGGATATTTTGAGATCAAGCTTACAATGATATGTATAAGGGTCTGAAGTTGTTAATGAGTGATCATTATGATGATGAAGTTATTGGTGATGCGGCTTAGAGATGGTTGCTGCACATATGGATATCCGCTTGCAATTTCAGCAAAATCAGACATCTGCATCTGCTGGCAGATATCCGCTGGCGCTGATACCCGCCCTTTAAATGGGCGGCAAGGCAGCTGGCTGGAAGTATCTCCTTCCACCTGGCAAGGTACACATGTACCTCGCCGGCTGGAAGGATTTCCTTCCGTTCAACAAGGTACATGTACCTTGTTGACTGGAAGGAAATGCTGGCAAGGTACATGTACCTTGTTGACCGGAAGGAAATCCTTCCAGCGGCAAGATACATGTATCATGTACCTCGCCAGCTGGAAGGAGATCCTTCCAGCGGCAAGATACATGTATCATGTACCTCGCCAGCTGGAAGGAGATCCTTCCAGCTGGCCATCTTGTCCTCTTGGCCTCTGGTATCCTTGGGGATACCCAGATATCCGCCAGTGTTTTGGGGGAAAAGGGGCCATCCGCACCCGCTGGCGGTATCCTCTGGGGCCGGCGGGTATCCACAACAGATACCCTCCGACCATCTCTAATGTGCTTAAAACCAAAGTGT